AACGTAGCACAGCTTTTCTTTGATATCACGGACGATTTCTCTCTCGGCTGTGGTGGTGAAGGAGTAGCCACGCTCGGTGAGGATCTTCATGAGGTAATCTGTGAGATCACGACCAGCCAAGTCCAAACGGAGAATGGCGTGGGGGAGGGCGTAACCCTCGTAGATGGGTACTGTGTGGGTGACACCATCGCCGGAGTCGAGCACAATACCGGTGGTACGACCAGAGGCATACAGAGACAGCACGGCCTGGATGGCGACGTACATAGCTGGAGCATTGAAGGTCTCAAACATGATCTGGGTCATCTTTTCTCTGTTGGCTTTGGGGTTCAGGGGAGCCTCTGTCAACAGGACTGGGTGCTCCTCTGGGGCCACACGCAGCTCGTTGTAGAAGGTGTGATGCCAGATCTTTTCCATATCGTCCCAGTTGGTGACGATACCGTGTTCAATGGGGTACTTCAGGGTGAGGATACCTCTCTTGCTCTGGGCCTCATCACCGACGTAGCTGTCTTTCTGACCCATACCCACCATGACACCCTAAAATAGATATAAAAAATATTTAAACCAAAATTCATACGGTAATCTTTAGGTAAGATTTATTTCTTAAATTAATAAGATGACTTTAAATTTTATCCAATTATTTTCACTTCCTAGTATGAAAGGTGATGGCCACGCCCACTTAAAGCATGTGTTAAATCACAATGACAACTCAAATGCGATAGCGATGACAAACATGGCGGCCAGGCGTGCTTTGTTTGTCGACTAAACACTAAATTGGCAGTCACGCCCAAGTAAGAACCCTCGCTTATACTGCTGATCGTTAGGCACACAAAAGGCGGCATTTCTATAAAAGGAGTGGCGTCACCACTTATGGCCAGTGGTCTTGATAAGCGCAACCACTGGCATGTTTATGGAACACCCTGTTCTATGACCCGGGGTCACGCTCTCCATATATGGTCATGCACTACCTTATATGGTATTTGTAGATGTCGCTTGCATAATTCTCACGTGCAGCCGTTAACAGCCGATAAGAACAAAGCTGACAGTTCAAAATGTCCACTACTTTCTCACGACCTTTTGAAATAAAACTTCCTATATTGCTGTAAGTATTCCGTCCGATTAATATTTTTCCCAATGAAAGAAGTCGATTTTCCCACGCCTGTTTCGCAGGCGTGCGTAAAGCCAAATGTGAGCTGGCAGCTAAACAACAGGTGGCCGCTGGTGAAACAGACATCACTTTCCCGCCAGATGTTGAACCGAATGGGCCGAACACCTCTGGCATTTTACATGCACTATTTAATATGTACAGACTAGAATCGGGCGATGTCTCGACGCAGCTTGGACTACAACTATTCTAACACGCGAGAGAGCCTACCACGCCCACCCTGCTTCTTAAACCACCCGGCAAACTCTCATAATCAAAATGGGTGGAACATGTTAATTCATGTTAATTTTCTGCAAGAGTAGTAATTATGTATGCGCTTCTCTTTCCTTCATTTTTAATTCCAAGTAGAAGTTTAAAACCTTGAAACGTATGAAAACGCCCCCCTCCTCTGTTGCCGGCTTCTCGAGTTAATTAGATCGATTTCCCGCCCATGACTCATCACATTAACAGCTAACGCATGGGGAGTTGTCACTTGTGTTGTCGATAAAAAGTTAAAACCAAAAATTAACCTGCACCACATGTACTTTACTACTATGCTGTATACTACAGCCATTCCCAAATACCGAGTTCAACCACCTGTTTCGTGTTATAGTCTACCGGCACTTTAACTAACCTGATGTCTGGGGCGTCCTACGATGGATGGGAAGACGGCTCTTGGTGCGTCGTCACCGGCGAACCCAGCCTTGCACATACCGGACCCGTTGTCCACAACCAAAGCGGCAACATCGTCGTCACACATGTTGATAAGTTACTGGTATACAGGGAAAAAACACAAAAAGGAGTTGAGCGTGGACTGTGTACACTGGACTGCTGTACGAGAATAACTGTGTCAATGCTTCTCGTGGTCTGGGTTTTATTGACCGCGTGTCAAGCTCTTCCAAGAACTACGGACACCGGTTTCCATATATGGCAATGACTACAATTAGTCAGCCAATAGCTGACTAGTAGCGCCTGCCAAATATGGTCATACCTAACTAGGGCAGAGCCTTGTTTGATCAGGCCCGATAAGTCATCGTGGCTGTCATACTGCTAGATCTGTGTAATGAGTAAGAAAGGGCCTGATGACAATATTACATATAAGGTCATAACTACAATGACAGTATTATCACACGTACTTACTATGGTATGTGACCGGCCCTGCCTAGTCAATATTTACCTGTGCCACATCGGAAAAGGTAGTATAATGTGCCGGTAGGGGATCATTAAAGGGGGGGGGGTTGTTAACCGACTACCTGTTAATATGGGCATGCCATTGTTTTATTTTATGAGTTGGGTTTATCAAGATCTTAAACAGTGCAATTTCTAGGGCTCTAAGGTTCATCTGCGCTTGGTTAATTACTGAAGGGACCCTGCTGTTAGACCCAGTGTGATATTTTTATGCCAGGGACTACGTTTAGAGTCAAACAAGATCCTATTTTTTTTAATATAAATATTGCGCCCGAGACGAAAACTGTCAGTCACTTCCTCATGTGTTTAAGTACTAAACGCTTACAGCTGATAACATTATATCGACATCATCGTTTTAAAACATTGCTGGTTTCACTGTAAGGAAAAATCAGCACACGAGACCGTATTGATCACACACAATTGATCTGACTGTTCCCGGTGTATTAAACATAGCCGGCTGACGCACCGCCGTAAATAATACATTGACTCAGGAATTATAATAGCTGCCGTTTTGCCGCCAGTGTGGGTCACTTCTTTACACAACATGTATACGATGGCGAGCAGAGAAAAGGACTGTTTGTTCGGCTTGTTCATCGTTTCATATAGCACAGTAGAACGAGGGAAGCGCTACAAGCCGGTGTCCAGAGACTTTTGCGGTGGCACAACTGGCTCTACGTTCCTCTCTGATAAGTGGGAGATGGGGAGGGAAAAAGCGGGGGGGGGGGGGG